CACCGCTTCATCTGTCTCGTCACGATCCGTTTCCACCTTGCAAGAGTCCTCGGAGCCGTTCCGAAAATGGGCCCGTCGTCCCTCGTATCTCGCGATCGCCCACACGATCGCGACGCGCGCTCGTCTCGTCCAGCTGCCATTCCTCGTTGTTTACGGCGAGCACGTCCTCCAGATCCTCCTCGCTGTGACGGGAATTTCGCAGATTTCGCGATCGCGTCGCGAGCAACGGTCGGTCGGTCGGTCGATCGATCGATCGGTCAGTCAGTTGGTTGGTCTCGGACCAACGATCTCGGTAGTCGCGCGTATTCCGCATATGCGGACCTCCTCTCGCCCGGCCCGACACGCTCAGTTAGCCGAACGCCGACGTGTGCGTGACGTTTCTCCGATATAGCCGCGTACCTACTTCTCGTCCCGACCCAAAGGACCAGGTCCGCTCATCGTCGATGGCCGCCCGTCCCATTCATCCTCGCGCAAATTCCCTCCCTGCGCTCTCGGCCTGCCTCACGAGTAAACAACGCCGTTGTTCGTTCGCGCGTGTTTCTCTCTCTCTCTCTCTCTCTCTCTCTCTTCCCTTTTCCCTTTTTCTCGCCCTCCGTTTCCAGTCGTATGTATACGCTTTAATCACGTTCGCGAGCGATATACCATGTCGATTCTCTCGGCACCGACGTCAGATTCCGACGGCGTGACGTGCGCCTCGGCGACTTTCGTATAGCCGAGTTTCTTTCCCTTCAGGAAAATTACATGCCGTTTCTCGACGTCTTGCAATTCGAAACGCTCGGCTATAAAACTAGATTTCGGTCCACCTTTGATCGCCTGTCCGTCCCGTCCGTCCCATCCGTCCCGTTCGTCCTATGATCACAAAAAAATTCGTATATCGCAGTTTTAAGCTGTAGGTTTGTCGAGGTAAAATATTCCAATATTCTCAAGACTTCCAATATTCTCTCGTTGTCGAGACTGCGTCATTCTTATCTCATCCGCAAACTGAATGCAATTCTTTTCTTACAGTCAGCAGTGAAACGTGATTCATCTGTAGCTGATCCTTGAAGTTTCAAATGGTATTCGCGTATTTCTCTGTCCGCCAGGTTTCTCTGTGCTTGGATTTTCCTTTTATGTCACGTTAATAGAGACTTCATTGACTTGTCATTAGCTGTCGAATCGAGGATTGCATTGACAATCTCCGATGTAATTCGTGGATTGTCTATGTCGCGGGCGGTATGTCTCGTCATTTGTATTTGTTAAACGATTTCTTATCGTTATCTTCGCTGCGCGCACACATTCACGTGATCGTTTTACACGATCATCTCAAAAATTTAGAATCACGAAAATTTTTAACATACCTTGTTTTCACTTGATTAATGATCCATCAAATGTGTTCTCTTCACGTATGATAAAGTATTAGTTTTCCATGGAAATAAACTTTGATTAATCAATAATGATGATTATTAAACAACATTATTTTGGTTGTCGAGTGGGATTTAATAATAATTTCTGTAAATTTTATATATTCCGTTCTTTACTTTTGAATTATTTCAAACAAATGGACGAATGTACATAAATTCAATACCATAATTTTATCTTATATTAATTATGCAAAAGGGTCGTGTCTTATCAGGTAGTCATAATTAAAAATTAAAAAAAAACGAAATTGAAATATGAACGAAGTTAGCAGCATTTATTAAATAAAATGCTTTATATAACGATATAAAAATAATATCACAAGCTGAAACTAATTTTTAATTTGTCGTTACAGCATAATAACAATTTTGAATTTAAATTTATTAAATATAAATTTTATGTAAGTATATTTTTTATAAACATAAAATAATTATAAAAGTTTCAATCAGTTATGTGCTGTCATCAATCATATTAATTTATTTAGGACCTTTTCATCATCATTTGATTTTGAAACGCAATTTTATACCAAATCTGGAAACGTAATATCATGCTATTAAAATAATCGATTTAATATTATTGATGTTAATGAACTGATTCGAGTGTTCTAGTTTTCATCCTAATATCGATTTATCTGGTTCCACCGCAATCTTCATTTCGCCCCTGAACGAGCGTAATCATGACTTCACAATTTCCATTTTTTTTTAAATGCCAATCCTCCATCATATACTTGCCTTTTGCTCCAAACTACTTATTAAACACTTCATCTATGTATCTATCCATCTATCTGAAGCTTTCCAATTCGCCTTAGGCGAACTCATTATAATCTGATGACTGCACAATTACAGTATATACAGTACATTTTTTTAGAGGATGGAAAAGCTAAGTAAATTTTTTATCGCATGTTTTTAGATAATAGCACCTTCCATTCTTTTGTTTCTCCTTTTAACAGTTGTCTTATCTATATATCCTCATCTCTTGCCTTGATAAAATACTATTTAATATCTATCTATCTAAAATACTATTTAATATTTGAATATTATCTAATATTTTATTCTATGACCTCAATTAAAGAGAATTTTCGAGACAAATCTAAGGAGAATTATTTCGTGTTACTAAATGTACATTGTAGATTTTCTGTTTTACAATAATATATACGCCAATGGTATTTCGTAAAGAGATACCTGACAGACCGCCTATCTTTAGCCCGAAAGTTAAAAAAACTCGTCTTCTTAATGTGGATTTCGTCTGTTCGTGACCGTACAATTGCATTTTTGTCGGCAGTTTTGCCGTTTCCCTGCTGCGCTATTTTCCTGTACAGGACACATTTTTGGAGTTGTATATTGTTTTCTCCTCCCGCGCGAGTTGCCTGCCGTCGTCATTGTCGTCGTCATCATCTTATCGTCGACGTTGTCGTTGTTTTCGCCGGCGAAAACAACGACGGTGACGACGACGACGACGACGACGACCTGTAACCGCGATATCCCCGAAAACCAGTTCGCGCTCGCCGGGAGTTTTGCCTTTTCGGTTGCTAGCCGCGGGCGACGTTCCTCATGTCTCCCCGCGGTTTCCTCCTCCCCCCCTCGTCCTTCTCTCCTTCTACCACGGTGTTCTTTCTGCCCGCACCTTTCCTGCTCCCCCCCCCCCTCGCACAACGTCTTTCTTCTCTCCCCTCGTATCTTGCCCATGAAGGAGCATACGTTCTTTTGCTTCCTTTCCCGTGAAATCCTCGACGGCGACAACGTCGGCTTTGCAACCGACTTGCATCCCGAAAGAAAGAGAGAGAAAGAAAGATATATTTTATATTTCAACAAAGATAGTCAACAATCAACGTTAGGTACGCGTTACATCTAAATAATGTGAACATTTCGCATTACTATAAAAAATTTTTAGCAGCTTTGTATTTTTATTTTTTTATTTTTTTATTTTTTTTTTATTTTCGAAAACAAAAACAGGAGCGCTACGAGCGTTGCAGTTGGCTACAGAGGCGAAACGATTGCGCAATGTATATTTTTATTTCAAATTGTAAAGAAAAATCCGTTACGAAAAGTCTGCGATGTTTCTGGATGGCGCGGATTTCTGCGAATCAAGAATAAGAGTCAGGGAATCGCGAACGTTTAAAGCCCTAAATGGCATT